GCAAGTGATCTGCTCCTGAAGGCTTAGCATCCTCTGTGGCTCTGTACCTGTGAGATCTATACCCTTTTTGGGTAGAACAATCCTCGGTGGAGACCGACATGGTCTGAGCAAACTGTAATTCCTGGTGGCTGAGGCGGCTAAGGGGCAGTCCAGAGCAGTAGTCAAGTGTGCACAGGTTGTTGGGTAGCTGGGAGGTCAATCAGTATCAGAGGCAGTCTGGGGAAATGGCCGGAGTTCTCACAGGAGTCAGTTATCAGAAGGTGCAATCCAAGGGGCTGGGTCAGTGGGTTGGGGAGGCGAGGTGGGGCAAGGTTTCAGGGCAATAAGGTAGGGTCAGGCAGGAACCAATAGGCAATAGTCTGTTGCTCAGACAGCTTCCTTTTCCTGTTGGGGTCTTTATCTAGTCCAGGTACCCAATGGAGTGCTGCCTGTCCATCCTATCAGGGGCCTGGGGAGTGGTTGCTGTGGGTCTGTAGGCCTTTAGCACTAAGACTGATCAGGGGTGGCCATTCAGTGCACCACCATGATGTAGCTGCTAAGGGTAACTCCTAAGAACCTGGTGAACTCAAGACCAGCGATCTGCAAATACCACTGGCTACACTGATTGCCCCAAACGTCACTTGCCTCATGAAGAGAAAAAACATCACTACCTGCTGCATGACCACAACACTACCTGCTGCATGAGCAATCATCTGAAATGGCCTATTCAGAGAGTTCAGAAGAATAAAAATGGACTTGCAATGGACATACCATCACCACAACGTGGGACAAATGTTGTCTAGCCAAAGAATGCAAATGTAGCATTGCCAGGATGAATGAGTGACAGTCACAAAGAACTTTACCACTTTTTGAAGCCCCACAGACGTATAAGTGCTACCATAGGGGACAGCAATGTGGTAGCCAAAGTACATGTCTGTACCAATAACAGGATGAATGAACTAAAAGCAATGACAGTCACAATTAACTTTACCAGTTTCTGCAGCCAAATAGGCTTGTAAGCAGTAGTTGATGGGAAAACCAAGGAATATAGCCACATTACATAGTCAATCCTGGCTTTACAAAAAGCATTACTGGCAAAATTCTGCATTCATGCCTGCTAGGCCATGAATCTTATGCCCTTATAGGAAGGCTTAATTGGATACAATGTATGAAACAGAGTGTTGAGTTTACATAATTGTTTTATTTTTCCCCCTGCTGCTTGGCATCCATCTTGGGTAGTTTGGGGGGGGTGAGGGGGGCGGAAATTCTTTATGGGTGGCTGTAGTTAACCAGCTGCCACCCAGTATTTTGTGGTGTTTAATTTTTTTTGCCACCTGGCATCCATCTTGGGTAGCTCATGGCAGGGCAGAGGCAGTTTGTAGGGAATGTCCCGTAGGGGAGTCGAAGTGTAGTACCCACCACCCAAGATAAACACTTGTCCTCCTGGAATCTAGCATCCTCCTGCATGAAAAATATTATTTGTCATATCCCAAAATCCTGCCCTAATATACCAAAGAAGAAGTACTTGGCAATAATAATAGAAAACGTGATGATTGGTGCTTACCAGGCTGTGGGTCAGGGCCCCAGGCCAGCTCTACATTCTGTCTCCCCAGGGTGGTCCACCCCAAACAGGACCTGAGGGGATCCGCCAGGACTGTCTGCTAACCCGTCCTGCTGGGGGTCCTGCCTGGGAGCACCAAGTTCTATGGGCAGCTCCTGTCACACCTGCCTCTCCTTCCTCCTGGCTCACGACAAAACCCTCTGCAATCGGGAGGAAATCATGTCAGATGCTGGGTTCTGTGCTCAGGTCGGTGCCAAGCACCATGCTGAGCTCCCCACAGCAGGGGCATGTGTGCGGCATGTGACCAGTCTGGCGGTTGGAGAACTTTGCCTTGCAGTATACGGACTTGAGGTGTTTAATCTGCTCCCAGCATGGTACCGCTGTCCGATGGATGCCCTGCTCAGCTAGCCTCTGAAATCTTTTCATTGAGATGAATATTATGCAAGCTCCTACTAAAGTCATGGCTCTGGATCACCAGGCAACACCTGGTGTGGTTCTCCTGGCAGCTTGCATCATGCTGGGGTTCAGCCATTTTGAAATGGCCAGGCAGGAATCTGAGTTGTCAGCACAATCCCCATGCACAAAAGGGGAGAGGCCAAAATGCTGTTCAAGGGAACATAAATGGTGGGTAACTTTTGGCCCATAGAGAACAAGTGGGAGGGAACTGAGGGAGCTGAAAGGCAGGAACATACAGACGGGGAATTGTGGAAGTGACGGTGGAGGACTATGTTGTCTCAAGCGTGGTTCACCTTGTAATTGGTACACCCACATCACAAAGTGGGTGAGTACTTAGGTGGGTCAGATGGTGACACACCCCCCCAAACGGGTATGCTTCCTCATATTCTACAGCCCCTAGCCTAGATGCATGTCTAAGGGCTTCCAGTGCGAATGCTAGGGGCAAAAACCTGTGGCGCAACACTCGTAAACCCAGAAATGTAGACATCCCCATGTTATTTTGAAGGCCAATTTTATCAGCAACAGCAGTATCTAAAACCTTCAGTAAGTGCTGTCTTTCCATTACATGTGGTAAAACAGCCATGACCTCCATAGCTCACAAGTCACAATAAATGTGTTGGTTTCATCTTAGGCCCAAGTGGCCAGTTGGCCTAATCACAGACCTGAGCTGATTCACCATTTCTTTTTCAGTGAGACCTTGGGCTAAAATAGTAGCAACGTTGGAAGGTGGGTGCAGTTGGCAGGTGGATGAAGGAAGCTCGCCCAGCATCTGCCTGCACTAAGTATATTTATAGCCAGTGTGATTAGTTCCTTAGAACATTACATAAAAATGTTTAAAACATAAATAAATCACCCCATTTTAATGAATAATAATAGGGTGTGAGCCTGGATACAGTTACTCATGCAATAGTCCTTATTCATGCAAGCATTTCCCTTAAACTCAATTGGACTATATGAGTAGGTGAAGACTATTCACATGAATAAAGTTTGCAGGATTGGGCCCATGCTCTCTGCCGAGCCCAGTGTGCAGGGCCCTCCCACTCATTTTGTAACTCATGGGGGGCATCCACACACACAGAGGGCTTGTAGGATCAGGCCCTCAGTCCTGAGCTGGAGTTCTGAAATGCAGCTTTTTGGCCCAAGTGTTCTATTTTTAGTCAGACTTTGTGATGTGGAATCTCTTATGTCAAAAGGTGTTTTTTTGGACTACGCTCTTTATCTGCTCACATTATGAATGCTGTTTTTACTTCTGCTTACAAATGAACAGACAGACGTATCCTTTGATGTGGTGCATTAAATTTACATTTGATCCTAATGAGTACATATTTTACTGGGGTAAATGAACCTGAATGCTTATTCCGAACAGTCTTTTTTAGTCTGCTCAAAATAGCTTTTATATAATTTTGCCAGTAGATGGCACTAAATGTACCGTAGATTAACTAAGTGCACAGTGTTTATTCCTGCCAGAGTGATTTTAACTGCACACATACAACTTGTGCTTCTTGCCATAATGGCACAAGGACACTAGATGGAACTAGTTTAGTTTCTATATACATTAAGTAACAAGTCTCGGTATAACTAATATTGTGTGATTTTTTGTGTGTGTGATGTGTGCACCTGTCCGTTAGACACTAGACTGAGTCTACCACCTGACTTTGCATGGGCCACCCCAGTGGTTCATATAGTCTGTCAGATTGTAACTTTCTTTCGCTACTGACCGCAGCTTGATTTGACCTGTCAAACTATGTGAAAAGCTCCAATATCCACATCCAGCCCCTGATCTAATCCACACATCCCCCAGCCTCCCACGATGAATATTTGAAAGATGTGGCAATGATAGAGACCTGGCCACTCATCAGAGACTTGAATTTGTTTCCAACTTTCTCTATGCATGTAATGAATGGTGAGTAGGGAAGTCTGATATATAAAAAAATCATCAGGGTTGATTCAATTTCCCTGTTAAATAAGCTTTCTGTCCTTGGCAGCCCTGCTAGAGAGCTTTTTTTTAGCAAGGCTTACCGCTCCTTGCAGCCTTCTATTGTGTCTTAAGTACTGTAATGCAGCCTTCTATTGTGTCTTAACACTGTAATGCAGCCATGGACACAAATGGCCATGTTCCCCAGCTAAAGTACTACACATGTAGCATCAATGATCGCAATCCAAAACGTGGACTTCTACTGCTTGAGCTAAAAGAGTATCCTCACTATCTGTAGTACTGCTAGGACTTCAGGCCTTTGTGAGACAGCAACTCGGGGGGGAGCAAATATATGATCAGAATTGATAATATATCCAGCAAGGACAGTGGGACAAATTAAGACAAGCCACTATATTATATATTCTTCTCTCATCCTTGCCCTGTTAAACCAAGCCCAAAGGAGAATCAGATGCAACAGTTGTGTGCCAAGCAGCCACACATTTATAGGCAACTGGTGCCTGAATGGTGGATTTGAGCTCCTGTGAGCCTCATACACTCCTGGACAACAGTACCTAAGTGGAGGGAATACAGTGTTCTGGTTTGCACTTATGAGCACCAATGCTGTATCCATGAACTGAATGCAATGTCAGACTTAGTCCCTCTTGTGACTGGCCTATATAGGATATAAAATATCTAACTAGGGGAGAGATATGCCTCAGGTGCTAGAGACCTGTGTTGTTGGAACAGCAGGTTCTGAGTTTTGTCCCCAGTGTTGCAAATTCACAGCCATAGCAGATTCATTACCACATGCTTCATGTGATCATCACATACAAAGGAACAAAGACTACCCTGCTTTTATTTTACTCAAAGCCATAAACAATACCAGCCCCGCCACTACCAGCCCTGCCATTTATATGCAAAGTTCCTTCCTGTCCTCCATTGATTGTTTTGCAGAGGAAATAAATTTGAAAAAAAAAATGTACAAATAGCGAATTAAAGTAATTTTACAATAGAAATAAAGAGCTTATGTTTAAACTGAAAGTGTCTCTAAAAGCAAGCTTCATACTTGCCTTTTTCTTTTAATCCCAGGATCCGTTTCTGCAGCAGAAAGACAGGTCTAAACCGCAGAGAGAAAGGGGCAAAGGCCAAGAGCCCTTAAGAGCACAGACAGGGACCAGAAATGAAGCCAAGCCACGGTACAGTGCAATCAGAGGGCTCCAGTTATAAAGTGACTTGGAATTTAGGTTTTACTTGGAGTATGTTAATGGAGACAGTAGAGGGGAGTGTCCTGAGACCCTGGGAGCTACATCCCTTCAGAGGCTTGGGGCGGTTGTGTGCTGAACCTGGGAAGGATAAGGGCACACTGAGTACTTCAGGGATGGGCCATGTGTGTCTGGGAATGGGGAGAGGTCAAGTAAATCCAGTGGGAAAGAGCTCAGCCCCTGGAGAAGGGCAGCAGGCATGCTCAGCCCTGGCAGGAAGGACTAAGCACCTAGGGAGAGGGAGCACAGTGAGACCCTGGGAGAAACTCTGCATGGAAGCTGTTGTGTGGAGTGAGGGGGTGGCCTTGCATTGCTCATTAGCACCTCCCTCTGGCCATTGCAGACATGAATGAGTGCTACGAGTGCAAAGCAACTGTAGACTATAAGCAGCTAATAAAGCTTTTCCACTTGACAAGTACTTGTAATTAGCTGATGTAAACAGAGAAAACCCAGACCACACGAAGAAGAGTAAAATGAGCATTCAGTAGTATGGAGAAAGGCAATAATATGACCAGTCTGGAAATGTCTTTATCACATTAAGTAAATTACAGGGATACGGATTTGTTGGCCTGCGAGGCTCTCCCTTTAACAACATGAGCTCTGTTTCTTTAAGGCTGGAAAATGCACGTGTCCCCAGAAGGGAAGACAGGCAGCCATCTCTTACTTCTTTACAGAAAGAGAAGGCAAAAGAAGCAAAGGTTTTGCAGGAGGAATGGCACAACCAAAAGACGGATTTACAAGCTCAGGTACAGTGACAAAACTCTTAGTGACATTACATAGTAGATGTGCTCCTTGGCTCGTGAGACATCTGCAGCAGTGAATTTTGTCATGGTAGCTTTTCGGAAAAATCTGTTGCTAGATATTTAGAAAATGTAGCAATAAAAAAAAAGGGAATGAGCATACAATAAATGGCCCCATTGCCCCCAAAAGAGAAAGCTGTAATTCTAGTTACTCATATGGTAAATATTATTTCTTCTGTATTTATTCGTTAGGGTGAGAGAGGGAAATCACACAACATAAGTCTAGGATGTGATGCACAGAACTCCCATTACCACTAATGGGAGTTTTGCACTAAACTCTTCATCTACCATTTAGTCAGTGGACCCTTCAATGTCACAACTCAAATGCCACTCAATTAACTGTGCTCCTGAACCTGCTCTTTGAATTGTGCCCTTCATTACTATGCAGCGTGGACAATGGGCTACCCACATGAGCGGGAGATGATTTGGGAAGATAAGAGATCAAAGCTCTGATGCTTTATTTTTTTAGTAAATTACTTGATGCAGTCTAACCAGATGGTTGATGGGAAAAGGATGGTAGTGTTTCATTATATTCTTTCTGGGAGCGTATTAGCATCCCTGCAGAGCCCGCAGAATTGCTCCATTTTCCACCAATCTAACACCTCCATCCTCAAGGTGTTCTGTGGCATCCACCATTCTGCAAGCTGGCCATGATTTTCAGAGCTAGATAAACCAGCAGGATCATCATTGAGAGAAATAAGGGGCTCTCTCCCACCAGGAAATGAATGTCCTGTTGTTTTCATAGAGCATCACATGTTCATAAAATATAGTAAAACTGAACACACTTTCTTCAGATGAGTCTGTTTGATGCTGCGAAGCAGCTGAGTGCAGTGGTTTGTACAGTACATAGCACAGTGGGGTCCTGACTAGGGTTTGTAGGTGCTGTAGTAATACAAATAATAATTGATGAGTCTAACAGCTAACCACAACCTAGTAATTGTACCATTGTTGAAGGTTGCTCAGCTGAAGCAAACTTTAGACCAACAAGCAAATAACTTCAAAGAATCTCTGAAGGAGCAGACGCTACAGTCCAGCAAAGAAAAAGAGAAGCTTTTGCAGGATCTTCAAGACACCATTCAACAAAGCCAGACTGTTAAAGCACAGCTGGAGGCATCACATCAGAGAGCTCTACAAATGCTAGAGAAAAGCAAAAATCAGGAACTCAAGGTAGTTTTGTACTGACATTGGTGCTGTTTATTTTTATTTTCTTACTTGGTTCAGACCTAAATCATCTTAGGGTAACTATAAGCTGAGAGATGATTCTCTAAATTAAGGTATTTCCAGTTATCCTAAAGATAGGTCAATATTATTTCAAGTAACAGGCTACCCTGCTGTTCTGATTGCTCGCGGCCCTGCTGTTGTGCTTTATTTCTTTATGTCAGTGCTTGAATATAGATCACACTGTGAATGAAATGTTTTTATAGAAATTATCTGAGCCTGGCCTCAAAAATAAGAGGAAATTCCTAAGAAATATATATTTTAAGCATATTGTTAATAGGACTCTGACTTTTTCAGGTTCATCCATAACTACATAGAATACTAATTTACAATATAATAAACTGATTATTATAATAATGTGTACAAATTAAAGAAAGTGTAAAAAAATCAATTATACAAGTGTAAAAAAGACTGCTTTTAAATGTTTATGTAGATTTACCTCATTGACAAAATAATAATCAAAGTTCATACTGTGTATTGTCCTAAAGGGAGGTTTCCATTCAAGAAAAAGGTAAATTTTAAAATATCCATGTAATTGTGACATTGACTTCATATCCATATTGCACACCGGTGGTAAATTAGCTTTTCTAGTTATAGAGTAAAACCTCAGAGTTACAAACACTTTGGGAATGGAGGTTGTTTGTAACTCTGAAATGTTCATAACTCTGAACAAAACGTTATTGGTAGTTCTTTCAAAAGTTTACAACTGAACATGAACTTAATACAGCTTTGAAACTTACTATGTAGAAGAAAAATGCTGCTTTTAACCATCTTAATTTAAATGAAACAAGCACAGAAACAGTTTCCTAACTTTGTCAATTTTTTTTTAAACTTTCCCTTTATATTTTTAGTAGTTTATGTTTAACACAGTACTGTCCTGTATTTGCTTTTTTTTTTTTTTTGGTCTCTGCTACTGCCTGATTGCGTATTTCCAGTTCTAAATGAGGTGTGTGGTTGACCAGTCAGTTCGTAACTCTGGTGTCCGTAACTCTGAGGTTCTACTATACATGGTATAACCATCCCAGGAGGAATTTAACTTAGACCATTTGTTTACAGATTCTGCCTTGGACACTTGGAAAACCACAATGAAGTCAGTCAGGTGGTACAGATCTAATTTAGGGGAGCATTAGGCCCTCAGAATGTCCCAATCACATAGTGCCATATACTGCAGGCTAGACTCGATCAAAATTTCACTGACAAGGGCATGTTTTTTTTGTCCAAGTATGGACCAAGTAAGGACTGCAAGTTCTGGCCAAAATATACTAATAATCAATAATGATGAGGCCTTACTGGAAGCTGAAGAAAAATTACCTTTCTAATGACTAATAGACAATCTTCAACATTTGTGTTTCACAGTTGATACAAACATTGAGAACCTCTCAAATTCTACTATAAGAAGTCTGGAAAACTTCTTCTGTTCCTTTGTTGCTTGGTTTTATTTTTTCTTGAGTCTTCTGCTAATCTTGTGTTGATGAAATATCAACATTTGGTGACGTTGCAAATTAAATATGCTGTGCATATGAAGGGTCTGATTCACCTTGCATTAAAGCAGGAGTAGCAAAGTGGTGAATTAGGCCCAAAATATATTTATCTTGCTTGCAGGAGGCAGAAGAACATTTGAAGAAAAAATATGATGACAGCATCAAAATCCAACATCAGTCTCACAGATTGGAAGTAAAGGCGTTGGAAGAGAAGGCAAAGGAAGAATTACAGGGTGAACTTGAACGGATACAAAAACAGCAAGCTGCATTGATAGGTATAACGAGCCACGTGTCACACAGAGCTTCCTACTTCATTATAATTTGAGAAATGCTCTGGTCATTCCATGGATTCCATGCCCTGCAAACCCAGCTCTTTGTCAGCTCCTGCTGTATTTCCCAAAGTTTTAGCCATACATTCTTATTGTTAACTTAGCTCCTAGTTGTCAGTGGCCTGTTTAACAAAGCTGCCTTTGCAGACACAGCAAATCAGTACACGATAGCTGGAAATTTGTGGGATTTCCTTTGTTTCTTTTACATCAGGAATGATCAGCCGTGGGACAAGTGTGTCCCACTGAGTTCTATGATGCTGCCAATGGCAGCCTTCATCATACTGTCTGTGATCTGCAAATATCTCAGCCTAAAATGCTCAGGTCTAGATGCAGCATTGTGTGCTGGGACCTGTGGTCTCTTTGCACAACACCTTAAAGCTAAGAGGCTTCATTTGATCCCCTTTCTGCAAATTAAGCACATTCCCCGTAGGGTGACCAGAGGGCAAGTGTGAAAAATTGGGACAGGGGTGAAGGATAATAGGTGCCTATATAAGAAAAAGCCCCCAAAATCGAGACTGTCTCTATAAAATCGGGACATCCGGTCAGCCCCCAGGTTCATGGCAAATTGCCAGCATAGCCCTCACTTGAGTAAAGTCTGAACACTCCTGATTACACTTTAGTCTTTTCTTTTGCGATTGCTTCAGTCTTGATTGTTTCTAGCCAGTGTGATTTACCTGGTACTGGGTCATAAGTAAAGTGTTTGGGGTTTTTTTTTCACCTGGCAAGAAAGTGGGGAAAAAGTGAGGCTGAATGATGCAAATGTTATCATTTTTACTTTTAAAAAAGCAATACTTGTGGGGAGCACACTATTTTAATTACCATTAAGTTGTTTGTCATGTGAAATCATAAGAAAAATCAATATATTTCATTGTATAATAAAATTATTTAGACCCATTTAACAATAACTAACTAGTAGCCTAAAGCCATTAAAAAATGGACACTCTACAGGTGGGACAAAGTGATGCACAGGTCTCCTGCTGGCCCTCTGTAAAGTGACGAATCTCACTCAGAGGTGAAAGAAGAGTAGCAGAAAAAGTGAAGCCTGTAGGAGTACTCACATGCTAGGAGTTAAGCACAGGCTTTGCTGAACAAGGGCCAAAAAGAGGAACCAAGCCTGTGTAAAGTTAAAAACTACTTATTCATTTGCAGAAATATGAAAAAAAAGTGGTATTAGAAAATCAGCTTTTCACTTGATATTGGTAGCTGGCTGTACAGAAAAGAGAAGGTGGGAAGTCAGAAATGTGTGTAAGAACCTTATGTGAGATTCTAATTTGGTTACTAAGGAGGTGTTAAATTCAAAGAAAAAAGATCCATCTTTACCATTCCCTAGGAAGTGTTCCAGACTATTCCAGCTCACTATTAAAGGGGCTTTCTTGTTGAAAAAAAGAATTATATGAATATTCTTAAAGATACCATCCCCTGCAACCACAGCTGGAAAAATAAAATCAAATGTAAGTTTAAGCTTTAGGCAATTTGAGGTTAAAAGATTAATATTTCATTTACTTTCCAGGGTACCCTAAAAACTAATCATGACAATAATACATTCTGTATAAACACCTCTCATATTTTAGAGAACTGTTCATAGATTTACATGCTGGTTGACTTTATTTTAGTGTAATGTACACAGAAATATCTCTTAATGTACCTCTCCAATATGAAGTAAAATAAAGAATAGGCCAAATTCTACCCACTAATGCAACACCATTGATTTTTAAGGATTTTGAGTGATTTGAGTTGGCTGTGGTGCAGACCAGAATTCCTGTAGAGCTCAGCGATACAGTATGTCCGCTCCTGCTCTGATCTGCTTCCCCCTTCCCCCTCCCGGCCCCCCAGCCTGGTCCCACTATGCCTCCTATGCCAGGGACTATGGTTGGTATAGAGACATTTATGTCAGCCCTATACTGCTCCTACTACATGTGGGGCTCCTTTACAATCCTCTATGCACCACCAGTATTACATAAAGGGGACTGGGCAGGTACATTCATAGATTTTTAAGGCCAGAAGAGACCACCATGATCATCAGTCTGAACTGCTGCGTAACAAAGGTTATAGAACAGAGGTGGGCAAACTACGGCCCGCAGGCCACATCCGGCCTGCAGGACCATCCTGCCCGGCCCCTGAGCTCCCAGCTGGGGAGGCTAGACCATGGCCCCTCCCCTGCTGCCCCCCCCCCCACAGCCTTAGCTCGCTGCGCTGCCAGGGCTCTGGCCTGCCGCTCCTGCTGGGCAGCACGGCGGCGTGGCTGGCTCCGGCATGGTAAGGGGGCAGGGAGTGGGGGGTACTGGGGGGCAGTCAGGGGACAGGGAGCGGTTGGATGGGGCAGAGGTTCTGGGTGTGTGTGTCTGGGAATGGGGAACGGGGGGGGGGGGGGATAGGGGTGGGGGTCCCGGGGGGCCTGTCAGAGGTCGGGGGTGTGGATAGGGGTTGGGGAAGTCAGGGGACATGGAGCAGGGGGGTTGGATGGGTCGAGGTTCTGGGGGGGGCAGTCAGGGGACAGGGAGCAGGGGGCGGTTGGATAGGCGTGGGAGTCCTGGGGGGCCTGTCAGGGGTTGGGGGTGTGGATAGGGGTCGGGACAGTCAGGGACAGGGAGAAGGGGAGGTTGGATGGGGGTGGGGTCCCGGGGGGGGTGGGCAGTTAGGGGCAGGGGTTCCCAGGAGGGGGTGGTCAGGGGACAAGGAGCAGGGGGGGTTGGATGGGTCAGGGATTTTGAGGGGGGCAGTCAGGGGGCAAGAAGTGGGAGGGGACGGGGGCCAGGCTGTTTGGGGAGGCACAGCCTTCCCTACCCCGCCCTCCATATAGTTTTGCAACCCCGATGTGGCCCTCGGGCCAAAAAGTTTGCCCACTCCTGTTATAGAACGTTACCTACTGATTCTGGCATTAAGGTCTTGTTGTGGAAGCACAATAACCTGTGGTTATTATTTAACAGATGACTTATACCACCAGGCCCAACAGGCTCCTCTTGTACAGAGCGTGGGGGGTACTTCAGCCGATTGCTGCAGAGGAGCACTTCTTCTTAGAGGACAGAGACTTCTCTTAGAGGAGAGTCTCTTGATAGAGCTTCTCTAAGTTTTAGTCAGGAAGAGAGGATGGGAGAGGATAAAGTATGGGCCAGATCAGACCAGAAACAGTCACATAAAAAAGAATCTGACACATCAGAAAAGGGCAGACAAATAAACAGTGACAGGTTTTTAAAGTGCTTGTACACAAATGCTAGAAATCTAAATAATAAGATGGGTGAACTAGAGTGCCTCGTGTTAAAGGAGGATATTGATATAAGAGGCATCACAGAAACCTGGTGGAGTGGGGACAATCAATGGGACACAATCATTCCAGGTTATATCGGAAGGACAGAACAGGTCGTGTGGGAGGTGAGGGGAGTGGCACTATATGTGAAAGAAAATGTAGAATCAAAGTAAAAATCTTAAATGAATCCACATGTTCCATAGACTCTCTGTGGATAGTAATTCCATGCTCTAATAAGAATATAACAGTAGGGATCTATTATTGACCACCTGACCAAGACAGTGATAGTGACAATGAAATGCTAAGGGAGATTAGAGAGGCTATCAAAATAAAGAACTCAATAATAGTGGGGGATTTCAATGATCCCCATATTGACTGGGTACATGTCACCTCAGGATGAAATGCAGAGACAAAATTTCTCGATACTTTAAATGACTTCTTGGAGCAGCTGGTACAGGAACCCACAAGGGGAGAGGCAATTCTCGATTTAGTCCTGAGTGGAGCACAGGATCTGGTCCAAGAGGTAACTATAACTGGACAGCTTGGAAATAGTGACCATAATATAATAACATTTAACATTCCTGTGGTGGGAAGAACACCTCAGCAGCCCAACACCGTGGCATTTAATTTCAGAAAGGAACTATGCAAAAATGAGGAGGTTAGTTAAACAGAAATTAAAAGGTACAGTGACTAGAGTGAAATCCCTGCAAGCTGCATGGACACTTTTCAAAGACACCGTAATAGAGGCCCAACTTAAATGTATACCCCAAATTAAAAAACACAGTAAAAGAACTAAAAAAGAGCCACCGTGGCTTAACAACCATGTAAAAGAAGCAGTGAGAGATAAAAAGGCATCTTTTAAAAAGTGGAAGTCAAATCCTAGTGAGGTAAATAGAAAGGAGCATAAACACTGCCGAATTAAGTGTAAAAATGAAATTAAAAAAGCCAAAAAGGAGTTTGAAGAACAGCTAGCCAAAAACTCAAAAGGTAATAACAAAATGTTTTTTAAGTACATCAGAAGCAGGAAGCCTGTTAAAGAACCAGTGGGGCCCCTGCACGATTGAGATACAAAAGGAGCACTTAACGATAATAAAGTCATTGCGGAGAAACTAAATGAATTCTTTGCTTCAGTCTTCACGGCTGAGGATGTTAGGGAGATTACCAAACCTGAGCCGTCTTTTGTAGGTGACAAATCTGAGGAATTGTCACAGATTGAAGTGTCACTAGAGGAGATTTTGGAATTAATTGATAAACTTAACAGTAACAAGTCACCGGGACCAGATGGCATTAACCCAAGAGTTCTGAAAGAACTCAAATGTGAAATTGCGGAACTATTAACTATGGTTTGTAAGCTGTCCTTTAAATCAGCTTTTATACCCAATGACTGGAAGACAGCTAATGTAATGCCAATATTTAAAAAGGGCTCTAGAGGTGATCCCGGCAATTACAGACCGATAAGTCTAACGTCAGTACCGGGCAAATTAGTTGAAACAATAGTAAAGAATAAAATTGTCAGACGCCTAGAAGAACATAAATTGTTGGGCAAAAGTCAACATGGTTTCTGTAAAGGGAAATCGTGTCTTATTAATCTATTAGAGTTCTTTGAAGGGGTCAACAAACATGTGGACAAGGGGGATCCAGTGGACATAGTGTACTTAGATTTCCAGAAAGCCTTTCACAAGGTCCCTCACCAAAGGCTCTTACATAAATTAAGTTGTCATGGGATAAAAGGGAAGGTCCTTTCATGGATTG